GTTTTAATTTATATTAATTTCTTCCAAATCTGAGCCTCTGTCTTTTTAAGAATGACTCGGAAAAGCCAGAACGATAGTTTTCGGCTAAAAAACATGGTCTAGTCGATTTTAGCTGGCTAAAAATATATTGAGTTTGAAGAAGTTTAAAATTAAAATTGTCGTGAAATTAAAAAATAATTATAAGAAGTTTTAATTTAAGTTAAAAAAAATTTAAAAAATAAATAATATTTTTCTCAACATTTTATTTCAAGTTTATAAAAGTAAATGTGTTATTTTTATTTTTCTAAACAAAATATTTTTATCTGAATGGGTTTTATTTTTAATTTAATCGTCAACACAACATTAATTAAGTCATCACAGCACTGATAAATAATAATTAATAAATTTAACAACAAAAATATTTAAAAAAACGTAAATTTTATTTTTAACAATTCATTTTTAAAAATTCATTTTAAAAATTCATTTTTAAAATTATAGTGAAAGTTAAATTTTATAAAAAAATATTTAAAAAAAAAATTTCTACATAAATAACACATTATTTTTATTTTTTTATATAATTAATAATTGAGGTAAAAAAAAAAAAATTAATAAACAACATCAAAAATATAAAAAAAACTCATGTGTTGAGAATAATTATATTGCAAAGTTAATAAAATAATGTGTTCAAGAGATATTTGTCGATATTATAAGTAAGAAATTTTGTAAAGTTGCTTGTAGAAGATATACTATAAATCCCGCAAAAGTTTTGAAGAGTGTTAAATATATAAACTAATAATTATATGAATTTAACATAGTCTGGAAGAGAAAAAATGGCCAGGTCAAATTAACTCCAATCAAAAGCATCCCAATGTAAACAAATATTAAATGGTTAGAAAATGAGATGAATGTAGAATTAAATAATAAACAAAGCTTTAATTTAGAATTAGAAATGTAAAATAAGATTTAAGATTAGTCAATGAGATTTATTTTTTCTTTGTTTTCGTTTATCTGAACCCCGAGTCTAAACCATGGGTATGAACTCCGGGTCCTAAATCATGGGTCTGAACCCCGAGTTTGGACCCCATGTCTGAACCACGGGTCCGTGCTCGGAGTTAGTGCTTAGAGAGTTGTTAAAGTAGCGAGCTACTTGTAGAGCGCTAAGTAGCACGCTATCTTTTTTGGTAGCTATAGCTAATAGTGGCTACTTTTTTTGTAATTATTTCATTTTTTAGCGCGCTACCTAGCTACTTTTAAAAAATATAATAAGGTAAGTATAAACATGAAAATTCAAATATAATATCATAATTAATTAATATTTTTATGATTTATTATTTAATTTTGTAATTGAAATATATTTTCAATTTGTAATTTATATTTACATTTGTTTTATAAACCTAAATCACGTGTTAATAATTTAAAATGTCATATCCTATGGATATCCAATTGAAAGTGATTCAGACAATGATATTAATGAAATGGAAGATACCAGGGAAGAAAATGTTCTTAATAGCTATAATACAAATTTCCCATTCCCTAGATTTGAAATTTTTTTTAAAATAAATATAAAAACCAAAACTGGCTTCAAATTTATTTGTTTAAAATGTAAAAAAAATATTTCCCCAAATCAATCCAGTTATAACCTCAAGAAACACCAAAAGTTAAATTGTCATTTTTCATTCTAATAGTATTTATTTTATAAGACTGTTCATGCCATTAGTTTTAAGGAAATGGAGAAACATCTAAATAATTTTGGTAGAGGCAACTTTACATCCAAAAAGACTAATTCAATTCAAACCAAATTAATTAATAATTCAAATACCAATATTTCTCAGATATTAGCTGATAAAATTATTGTTGATTTTATAATTGATACAGTTCAGCCAATGTTCTTGGTTGATAATCCATCATTTACCATGATGATTAAAACTCAATCCTCTGGTACAACAATTTTATGGCGCCAGACACTAATGAATAAAATAGCAGATAACTTTAAAGTGATGAAAGATGCTCTAATAGTTGAGTTATCAGAGATATCATATATATGTACCACGGCAGATAGTTGAACACATAACACTAGGTAAAAACTTATAAAATGCAATAAATTACCATAAATATTTATTTTTATTACATAAATTTTTTTATAATCAAAACTAATTATATTTTAATGTTGATTTAGCAAAAAATAAAACAAATTTGTTTTTAAATTTTTTTTTATAAAAAGTAGCTTAAGAAGTAGCTAATAGCGCGCTACTTTTTTTTGACAAATAGCGATAGCGCGTTACTTTTAAAAGTAGCGATTAACAACTCTGGAGCTAGTGTAGTCGATTTTTAGACCCAAACCCTGGGTCTAGGTTTTACACAACCAACCAATTAACAACTAATTTATTATTTTAGTAATTTTAAATAGCCAGTATCGTGCGTTCATTTTTTCACAAGGTAAAGAATAACGGTAACATGGTACTTTTTTTCAGACGGAATGAGTAACTGATTTTTGTTAATTTACCACTATAATAATATTAAAATGTAGATCTACAAAAAATAGCTCGTCAAAGCTTGGTAGGCGCGCCGGGTAAATTTTTAAAAAAATCGGGCCGGGCCTTTATACATAAAAAATTTAGGGCAAAACCTGAAAATTTATGTATAAAAAATAAGACAGCATCTTGCCAATCTCTGATTTTTGGTTTGAGATTGAAATGCGGATATATTTTTTTCAATTCCAAGCTAATATTATGATTAGAATTTCTAAATAGATGCATATTTCTTCGCATTTTAAAAGCTGCCTAACTGAAAAACTAAATCAATAAATAATATAGTAAAAATTCACAAAAATATTAAACAACTTATTACAAATACAATTATCAAACATAGTTGTCGTAGAAATAAAAAGCAATAGAGAAGAGATATAAGAGTCTTAATTGACATTGGGAAAAAATTAAGTATAGATATCAAAAATGTGATGGCTTTTCGTAATATTAATGGAATGAAGCTATTTTGTAAAAAATCATAAAGGACTGTGCCGGGAAACTCTTTAAAATCTCTATTAAACAGAAATGTATATTCTTAATGAATTTTTTTAAAATTAAAACTCCTTATAGGATCGGAAAATTTAATATCGGTCTGATACGATAAAAAAAAATATTAGTACATCCCTAATATTGCCAGAATTTTTTAAATATTTATTGACTATTGTTATTTAGTAATTTTGATCAACAAAATGGGCTGTTAGCCCTAAAAACAGAACCTGAGTAGAGCTGATCCGATTATTAGATGAAAAATTTATCGGGCATTTTTTTCTGCAAATTTATTATGCTTATGCAATTTAGTTTTAGGGTATCAATATCATTTCTAAAATCCTTTCCATACACACTCTTTGAATCTAGTTTTAAATGCTATATATTATTATTTATAAAGAGTTGGTTATGGTTTTTATATGCAAAAAAGTTTGACACCACTTTATATTTAAGTGTAATGACTGAAAAGTGATGCTATACTTCCTTTATAATTTATAATGCTAGTTATGATACAAGCAACGATTTTTCTGTTATGTGTTCCCAAATGCTCCATTTGTTGAAAGGATATTTTTGTGAAATTTGATTATTAAGGTTATTTAATTTATCTGGGTCATTATTTTCATGATTATGCTAAATTTTTATGTAATAATATAACAAACTAAATTTAAAAAAGTGAAATATATTTTGATTAATTAAAAATGTTATTAGGGTTTGAAATATTAATTTTTGGATAAAATTTTACAAAAAGCTGGTAATATTATAAAAGTTTAAAAAAAATAAAACTGTGCAAATAATTATATAATAAATTTTTTATCAATTTTATAAAAAAATCAATGAGTAATTGTTTTAGGGCAGTACCAATAATAAATATTAGATCAGGAAAAACATTTACCATTTAAAAAAATCAAATTGGTCAAATATTTTCAAAAAAAATAAATCCAATATTATCAATGTTTTTTTCTTTAAGATCATATAAAAAAAAATTTAAAAAATGAAATTCAATTTGTGATTGTAATGTTTTAAAAAAAATTGAATTATTATAAAAGAAAAAGTTGTTAAAATGAGTAATTATTTTTTTGTTTTTACAAGAAAAAGATTCAGTATTTAAGAAATCAAAATCAGCCAAAATCTTTTAATTTTATATAAAATGACATGAGATTATTTTGAGGAATAGAAAAATTACTAATCATTCATAATACTGCAAAATATTGCCTTGGCCATGAGAAACAAATTTTTTCTAATGTTTTTCCAGGGAATATATTTTTAATACTGTTCAAATTTTTTCTAATTTAAAAATAAAAAGGTTAAGTAAAATATTAGCATTCTAGTTCAAGTTCAATACCCTGGTTTTCTCCATAGACTTTAGAAATTTTATCTCCTAGAAAATAGATTTTTATATGACATTAGCTCAAATATAGATCATAAATAAAAAATTATCTAAATATTAGATTGGTGAAAAATTTATGGATTGGCATAGGCCTAATTTATTTCCATACAAACAAAATGAACAAATTACTATTTGCTTCTTTTTTAATAAACCTACCTTAAGTCGTAAAAAACTGTTTTATGGATAATCTATAAATAAAATTATCACACAACCAATATAGATAACAAAAGTCTGTTAGGAAAGCAATTGTATGTTAATGAAATTTTTCATGTGGACTCTAAACAAAAAAGGGTAAATTATATTTTTAATTAATTGCATTTAAAAAGCTAGGAAAATTTCCTAGGCAAGAAAAATTGTTTAAAATATTTTTATGGGTTAGACCAAAGTTTTGAAAATGTCATTAAATTGATAATTAAGCAAATTTATGGCGGTTCCTTCATAAAAAATCATTTAAAAATATATAAACAATGCATCAAAAAAATAACCATAGCTATTGTTTAATATCAAAAAAATATATTCTGAATATATAAATTTTAAAAATAGAATATGGAGAATTACAATTCATAGTTGACATATAAATCAGATTTGTTAAAGTTAATCAAAAATTATTTTATCAAGTAGTCTATTTTACTTAAACATGTATTATACATAATGCAGTGATAAATATTAATTATTGTTTATTATAAACATAAGAGATCAATATGATCATATAACAATAATATCACATTTAATGAATATTGACAAATGTTTAATCTATAAAAATTTATAATATATACAATTTTTTAAAATACATATTTATATATTATCAATGACGAGTAGGTGCCCCTCTAAACATACCTCTTCCTCCTCCAGGACCACCTCTTGGAGGTCCACCTCTACCTCCTCTGCCTGGACCACCTCTCCCCCCACGACCTCTTGGAGGCCCTCCTCTGCCTCTTCCACCTCCGCCACCTTGTTTTGTCTGATATTTTTTAAACATGGGTGCATTTTTTAACATGTCAGGTAATATCATAAATCTAATTTTGCTTCCTCTAATATATATTTCTGGTAAGTGGCCTGTACTTCCATCTCTGGTATAAATTTATAATAAATTTAGAAATATACATTAATTAATACCTATACGTAGCCATAACCTCTTGCATTTGGCAATTCATATTATCTTCTGCTTCCAATAATTTACCCCTATAAGTTTCGCCAATATTTGTTTCAATGGTAACTATATGGCCTTCGGCTTCATGCATGACTTTAATTGGAACACCAATTGACATGTTTATAGACTAAATAAAATATTTAGCAAGAAATATTTATAATGTTACTTTTAAAATAATATGGCGAAAATAGAATTATAAATTGTTAACTGCCAAGTTAGGAAAACAATAAACTCGAATTTTGGGATTGTCTATTGGTTGCTAAAACATTAATAATACTATAATATTAATAAAGTAGCAAAAGGAGATTATTTTCATGAATATTAAATTTTTTCTAATTCAACATGTTCTAATATCAATAAACAAATAAAAATGGTTCATGAACAAAAGGATATCTAGGAGCCCAAAATATTATCCCACTTTATTATTTCCATTAAGATGGATTAATATATCCTAACAGTCTACACATTCAAATACATAAATTCTTTTTAAAATTTAGTAAAAATTGTACTATATCTTGACTGCAGATCCTATCTAACAGGCGAAAAAATTCAAAGCTATGAAGCGTGAGTCCACTATTTTTTAAAGAGTTAACTATCTTTTAGGTTTAAGCCTCGATCGAAGCTAAAATAATAATTTTTTCAAAATTCGGTTTGCCCACATTAGAGTCTGCTCACAACCTGCTAAAAATGATGCCATCTCTGTTGATGGTGATTCTCACTTTACTTTTAAGTAAAATTTGATATATAAAATGTTAATCGACCAATTTGAATAATAACCATTTTATAAAATATTCAATGGATCAAATGTCTCGCCGCTCTCGTGATGTTAGCACTACTGAAATAAAGCAAAAATTTTAAACGGTCATCACTGTCGTTATTATTGTATTTTATTCTCCAAATGTTATTAAACTTTATTTCTTTAAATATTACAATTAATCTTAATTTTTTAACAATATATTTTAAAATTGTTAAAAGGAAATCAAAATTTTTGCAAATATAAAATGAAAATATCGAAAAATAAAATATTTGCTTCTCTATCTTCCAAAATAAAGTTGCCGTTTGACTAAAAAAAAATTCTATTTTTGACTATAGAAATTTTAATTTTTACAACAATAATAAAGAGTATTTAAATTCATAAATTTTGAAAAAATATAATAATAGTATGGGTTCTCTTTACAATACAGCAAGAATCATATATTAACTTTCCTAATACCTTCCAAATCAATCTATATTCTCAGTTAGATACAAATAATATTTAATAACTCAACCATTTTTTAGCTAATATGAAGGAGAAGTTTCTAGTTCATCTAATATTGATGGTGAAGGGTAAGAAATTTATATCGAAAGCGAGATAGAATAATAATGTTTATGTTTCATAATTTAATTTATCATTATGATTATTATTTTATGATTTGAATTGATATAAAGTGAATTTAATTCCGATCATGCATTATACTCTATGCAATAAGTTAATTCACATAATACATATTTCCATATATTCTCGATGAAAAATCCCTAATTTTTAAATTCGCGAGAATTTAATATATTTAAATATGTTTATTTCGATGAACTCAATTATAAATTCTAGAAATGATATGGAATTCTGTGGTTTACCTCCATATACCTTAGAAACTTCACAAATTTTTTTGAATTTCTTAGAAAACACTATGACGACTATTATAAAATATTCTAAAAATAATTTACGATATCATTTTATATTACTATAAAATACATTGCCAAAATAGACAAAAAAAGGAATATTACTTAGTTTTATTTTCCAAAAACAAATCATGATAAATATATATAACTATCATAGGCAAAGCCAGGGGGGGGGCAAGGGGAAATCCCCCCCCTTCCCCCCACACACACAGAAATTTATCACTTTTTGTGAATATCATTTTAAGCTAATAAAAAATATCCTCCCCTGACCTCCAAAAATGTATGTATATATCTTAAACAATAATTTGAAAGAAGAATGTAAAAGTTGATATTTTTTTAAAAACTATTCATCATAATTTATACATTTTTGGAAAAAAGCATCTATATCTAAAAAAAGTGAACCAAAATTGTTTTTTAAGAAATGGAATATAAGCCAAAGATAAGTCTTAAGACAAAAGTGAAATGTATTATAATTATTAATAGATCCATAAAATTACTAAATAATATAATATATCAAATATAATTTTATAAAAAGTGAGTAATTTTAATTTATTAATCTTAATAAAAGCAAAATATATTTATAAAACTATTGATAAAATTATCATAAATTAAATGAAAAAATTAAAGCACAATACAAACAGTGGAATATTATGTCGTAGATTTACAGTATGTCTATTTTTATCAATTATCGTATGACAATCAAGTAATTTTTACTAATTTAGCGAATTATATATTTTACAGAAAACTATAAAATATTGATAAGGAGATCAGAAAATATCTTTTAAAGACATTGTGGGATGAATAATATGAATTTTAATTTTTAATATCATTTTTTATTTAAAATGAATAATTGAATGCAAATTGTTGCTATATTTATTATCAAGAGAATTGAATAGTAAAATTTGTTAAAATATTAACTATAATATATATTTTAACTGTCAAATATGTCTGTAAAAGTGAAATTTTACCTAAAATATTGTAACTAATTCTATATAATAGAGGAATATCAACTTTATGTCTACTAACTTTTTGTAAATAAATTTCTTATACTTGTTTGGAATAAATTACCATGCTTTTATATTAATGTATATACAAGTAATTTATTATATTTTATATAAACTAATAAAAATATATTTCATATTTGTATTTTTTTTTATTAAAATTAACTTACTATATTGTAAAAATATTTTATGACTATGTATAGACTAAGGTAACTCGGCCGAAGGGCCGCCCAATTCGGGTCTGGGGGCGAAGCCCCCAGTCATTTGTTAATCCCCCCCTTAGGAAAATCCTGGCTACGCCTATGATTACTATACACTCATGTCAATATATTATAAATTAATTACACATGATACCTATTAGTATTACTATAAACTCAGACGATAATATTATAAATTAAATATACATAATATTGGTATGCTAATGTATGAGTTTACATAATCCAGTAGAAAAAAACAATGATTAAAGTGGCTCCAAAGTCAAAATTTTATTTTAAAAAATTAATTTATTATTGAAATTTACGAAATGGAGTTTAAACGAATAATTTATAAATGCAAGTACAATTTATTAATTGAAATATTTTTAACTTTGACGCACCCTAAGTTTTAAGCCTTCCAGGTACTGGTTGCAAACTTTAACTGGTTCTAGAATTTCTTCCTGGAAATTATAAAATGGGTCTAGTTCCTATAAACTTTAAGAAGGTTCGAGGTTTTGGTTCTTAGATTTATCTAGATTCCTAGGTTTCCAGGCATCAGTTTTCAAACTCTGGGTAAAACCTTATTGAATACATAGCAAAAGTAGTTTGATGGGTGACGACGCTCAAGTTCCTGTATAAGGTCTAAATTTATTTCGTAAAGTTACTAATACATCCTGTAGAATCTTCAATGTGGTGCCCCTTGTTTAATTTTAAGCTTTTAAATTTAATAACGCAAACTCTCACCTCATCACATGCCTTCTATGTAACTAGTTATGGTAAATGAGGAAATAAGCCATGGATGGGAGAATTTAGTAAAAATTAGAACTAAAAAAATAAATGCTCATTTTGTCAAATTGTATTTCGATAAATGATGCTTGGTATTTTCGCAATTTCTCTCGATTATTTACATCCCCACCTATTTAATACTCAAACACTTAAGTAATCTTTAATCAATATATATACCACTTTGGCTTTCTTGTGATATTTATCGAATCCATCTTTCTACTTATATCTATTCTTATTTGGAATATAAAAATAAGCTTTAAAATTATTTTATAATTCATTAAATATCATAATTTTATAAATGAATGTGAATTTTTATTAAAACATTATTCATAATTAGAATTACATGTACAATAATGTATAAAGCCATAATTATATAATAAAAAAACATTTAAATATTTATAATTTTCTATGTTAAAATAAAATATTTATTTAATATATTTGCTAATCTTATACATCATTTTAAAAATATGATTTATATTGTCATACAATATTATTTTAAATGTAATAAAATAAACTAATATATATATGTAATATATAAAAGATAGTATAGATCATTTTTTATTTACTTAATCTTTGATTCAATTTAATGCAAATCATATTTTTCATTTATTATAACTGGAGACTTATAACTTTGAACGATCGAAGGTGATAGCGTTTCTAGAAAATCGATATGTCTTAATGTAACGTCTGTAATATAATCGTCTAGGACGGAATCTTTGACTAGTTTGCAAGCAGAAAAGGCTTCATCTATCGATATATTAATAATACAATGAACAAGAGATAATTAATATAAGATAAAAAATCATAATCAATTATAATTTTGGTTTCCCATTTTCAAATTATAAGCATATTAAGTAGTGCTATAAACTTTACAAGGAACATGTTATTCATTAGTTTGAAAAAAAGGAACGCATTACTGTTACCTTGTGAAAAAAAAACGCGTTACTTGCTATTCGAAAAAATTAACGCGTTACTTGTACTTGATATAAAAATAAAATTATACAAAAACAATATATTATAAGATAAGATCTTCTTGCAATCATTTTTTATTTATTTTTAACAATTTATTTTAAAATTATTATAAGATAAACAAAAGCGCTTAGTGCTAAACACGCGTTTGGTGCAAATAATGGGAGAGTTGAAATATTAAAAATTTAATTGGGGGAATTTATTTAAAATATTTAAAGAATGACCTTTATTTTCAAAATATTAAGATTATCATCACAAGTACTTCATTCAGATCTTTATTGAAATTCTTTTTATATCTTTATCAGAAGTTAATCTGGTAGGTGCGTTATTTAAAATAAAACAAATCTAATTTTCAATCTACACTTACAAAATGTAGATATAATGCCCTTAACTTTCTTTATTCATGTAAAAAAAAGTTTCATACTGGGGCCAAGGCAGAATTAAATCATCTTTATCTGAAGAAATAAGTACTATTGATATATATTATTTATAAACTAAATTATAAAATTAGTGAATATAAAGTAACATGCCTTTAGAGATTCAATATTAATTAAAACAACAATCTTGACTGTATAAAATTCAACAACAAAAATGTAATATATAAAATAAAATGAAAAACTTGGTCGTTGATCTGAATTAAAAACTTGGCTTAAATTATTTATAAAATTAAAAATATAATATATTCTAAAATATATTTTTCCATATTTTTAACAAAAAATTTAAAGTAACGTAATATTTTGGGTTACAGTTACAAAAAAAGGCGTTATAGTTACGTTATGAATCAAGCAATGAATGGCGTTCCTTTCACCCTAAAAAAGGATTAAAAGGTAGTAACGACATTAATTTCATCGACGTTACACTACATCCCTAATCAGGGATCCAACCCGAACCCGAACTATTAAACCGCTAAAACTGGTATTTTTTATCGAACCTAAACCTGAACCGAACCGCTAAATTACCTATGAAGAGGTTCGAATCTCACAATTTTATGCTTATAAAATAATGTGCATGTTATTATTAGAATATTGCAAAAATTTTAATTATATTCGAATTGTTTTAAAAGTGTCAGTCATAATTTTTATAAACTTTAGTATATTGCCATTTTACAACATTTTTTAAATATTTTAAGCTTATAAATTATAATGCCTAGAGAAAAATTAAATCCAATATATAAATTATTCACATATAGTATTATAAATGATACATCAAATCTGATATCATACTGACAGTGCCAGCTATCCAAATTAGTGTGGGAAGATGTTTTTCAACAATTAAATTTATACTATCTCCTTATAGATGTAATTTGAGTGAGACGACTTTTGAATGTGGCTTCATAAAAAAATTTTAAGTAATTGTTCATTAAAATTAATCATTGATATTTATTTGTTATATTTATAAATTAAATATTATTTTAAAATGTGCATTTAATAAAAATGAAGGTTTTATGGTGTTTTTATTTATGAAATAAAAAAAATTCTTCCCTATACATAATTCGAATGTAGGTTTGAATGCAAAAGTGATCAAACCGGTTTTTGAGGTTTGAACCAAACCGAACCGTTATTTTTATCCGAACTTAAACTGTACCGATATTCGTTTCGGTTGATCCCTGGCACTAATATTAAGTCCTAGAAGATATAAGCTTATTCAACTAAATTATGACAATCATTAATATACTTTAATTGTGTGGACATACGACATCATAAATATAAATATCGGTTTAAAATTATTTTTAAAATAAATCACACCTTTGGTTTCATCCTCAAAATTATTATGTAAACGTGGGTTCGATTTGAATAAACGCAATGAAAGGGCTGACCGGCATAATTCTTTTAAATCGCTACCTGTGTAATTGTTAGTTAGCTGAGATATGTTCCTCAAATTTATGTCTGTGTTTAACTGGGTAATAATTGTGAAGTTTAATAGTAAAATTCATATTTAGAAAAAGTATAATTATTATCATAAACTGATATAATATCGAAATCGTAGGGATAAATGTGATGTAGGCAATGACATCAAATATTAAGCTAGATTAATAATTTATTCACTAAAATGCATTTAAAAAATATACATACATTGAAAGGCATTTAACGAAATTGACTTTTAATGGCGTTAAACTAGACCCAGTGATATTTATTACAGCTGATTTCAATATATGTACACTTTTAATACGATTCGTCCGTCTGTGTTAATATTAATGCCATTGGGTATAGTTTAATAAATATTTAAGTTAGTATAAGAACAAATTATAATTTATGGAAAATTTTATAACTCAAAATTATTTACTGGTATATCTTTCAAAAATAGGGACAAAATTTGACACCTTTGTTCTTCATCCTAATTATTATTATTTTTTAAAAACAAATATTAATTCACAAAATTAATAAGGAATAAATTTATTTTATGATTCTTAGTTGATTGCATATTATTACTAGGGATGGGAAAAAAGGAAAAAAAGAAGTATTTTTCAACAATAAAAAACGTGAAAATTATTTTTAAAAATTAGAAATTATTTCTATATCTAAAATTTAATTAATTTTATTCTAAAATAACAAATATATCAGTTACTTTAATATTTAATTCTTTACTCTTTAAATTAAAATATGCCACGATACAAATCTCATCATGTATACAACTATTTATTGCTGGAGAAAAAGAGAAATATTGAAATGCTCAAAACACATTTCTTCTACAAGTAGTAGCAGACTAGATCATAAAAGAAACCGTGTAGGAATGATGCTCGAGCAGAAAAGATATTTTACGTCTAACATCCGACCCCCTACAATCATGTTCACAAAAATTCAATTTATTTTTAATGAAAGAATGTTGATGAATGCTGGATTGCCTATTATTTGTATTGTTAAATTTATTGTATTTTAAAATTTTAGTTAAATGATTATGAAAATAAAAAATTTACAATAAAATATTAATTGTAAGTAATAAAACAAATTTTTTAAAAAAATAACGTTTGTTTTTCTCCGAAAAATTTCCTCCCTACTTATTATATTATCAACTTCGCCATCTTTAGGCAATCCCCTCCCTGAAAATAGTGAATCTAAGAATTTATACAACTTAATTCATACTTGTCATATACATTACATTTTAAAAGAATAGGGTCTTGAGCAATCATATAATTGATAATGAACATTGGTTTCAAAGTTTTAAATTTATGATCCTCCAAAAATCCTTGTTAACAAGCTTATTATGCATAGTATTCAGAGAGTAGGGCATACCTGAAGGCCTAGAGTGTGGGTAAATTTTTTATATGGGCCAAGATATGAATTTTTTAAACATCCTCATGGGTAGGGTTGCTAAAAAGCCTGATTCAGTTCGATTTTAGCCAAAATAATATTAAGTAAGTCTCGAGATTTAGAAAATAAAGCCAACCCTTTCTACCATCTATGAGCTAAATCTTAAGGCTTACATAATATTATTCTGGTTAAAATCTTAATGGTGTCGTTTTTAAAAATCGACCCAAATCAAGATTTGTTCACTACTCATAGGGCGGTTTGAACCGATATCTAATAGTACTAACTCTGTAGTAAGTATTGTATTTAAACTTTCCTGGTGCAATTTGAGAATAGACAAAAAATATCAGTGTTTGTCGATGAAATATTAAAAATTTCAATCGATATATGAATACCTTACAATTTTCACATGATAATACCTAGATGTTAGTTATCGTCAACGGTCCGTCCGTCTCAATCTTCTTTTTAGGAGAGGGGCACTGGGGATAAAGAATGGAGGGTTTGTTAAACTTAATTCGGACGGGCCGGACTCCATCTGTATGGAAGGTTTAGATAATCATTATAAAGACTATGTTACGGGTAAGGGAACGAAAAATCTATCGGGTAATCTTCTTAGGATAGCTTGATCTAATATATCTATTCTGTTTGTTGCACCGATGACTAAAACTCTGGAGTTTTTGACGGACATGAACCCGTCCATTTGTGTAAGGAATATAGATTTTAAACGGGTAGATACTTCGTGATCGTTGGAATTGCGTGTACTTAATATACAGTCTTTTTTTGTTAATTTTTTTAAAAAATTTTATAAAATTATATAAACATATACATTGATCAACAAGGTATTTTTCATATTTATCAAATAAAAAGAATAAACCTTCATAAATTGATTTTATTTAATTTAGCGTATATATTTTATTGGAATAAGAGTATCGCCTCTGATGGCGATACTCTGAGATAAAATTTTGTTAACTTTCTCTTTATATTTTTTTTATTATTATAAAATTAAATTAAATCAAAAGTTTATATAAAATGAAAAAAGTGATTTTTACAATTTCGTTAATGTAATAAATATCATCAGTCATTCACATAAAAATTAATACATCTGTTAAAATAAATCACTTTATCAAATAAAATATACATTAAAAAAGTGTACAATACAACATGCCACCCATTACTAAACCCAAGTGTTAGGGGTGATTGAAAATATATGACCAACAATATACGAAATATAAATACACATCTGACGTTTTTCATTTACTCCAAACTATATATTTAAACATTCTGCTTATTTTGGTGTCTATAAAATTTTCGCCGAAAATAAATTATCTTGATCGACTTTATATAAAGAATTAAGAAATGCGGCTTTATGTCCATAGGAGGACGCCGTTTGATTCGTCTCACGAATAAGAATAAAGAAATGCGGTTTTTTTTTCCAAAGGAGGACGCCGTTTTAGTCGTCTTACGAATAAGAATAAAAATATTATATAATTTCTCCGGCTACAATTTCTCTGTAATACCGTAAATTTATATTTCCCCAATTTGCATAAAGAATAGAATATATTTTTTTAAATATTTCATCATAATTTTCTCCAATTCGAATACAGAATATAATGTAAACAATTTATACTCAAAATTTTCATACACATCTCCCCATTATTATCGGTAAATCATTTAATGTAATTTCGAATATGATTTCGCAAATATTATTTGAATATCCTGGAATAATTTCCTTATATTCTTGAATAATTTTATATAAGGATTTAATTTTTTTTTACGAAGTAAACATAACGTATACAATATCTTTACTAAAAAATGGTTTTTATAGGAATTTCATTTCTTTGAAAGAATACCAATGAATAATGTCATAGATAATATAGAAGGTTAGGTAAAGATTTCGAATAATTTGATGCATATATTTTATTCCGCTATTACTTTAATAATAATATTCACTTTATTACTTTAATAATAATATTCACTTGAAAACCTCCTCCCAACAAAACAAATATCGAATAAGATCCTTTATGAAAGTCCCTTTTTTTAATATTTTATTTTATCTTAATAACTAATTCCCAATTTTGAAATATTTATCTTTTTTTTATTTTACCTTTATAATATAATAATTTCCAATTTTGAAATATTAATCTTTTTTTATTTTACCTTTATAATATATTAATTTCCAATTTTGGAATATTCATCTTTTTTATTTTACCTTTATAATATATTAATTCCCAATTTTGAATATTTGTGTTTTATTTTACCTTTATAATATATTAATTTCCAATTTTGGAATATTCATCTTTTTATTTTACCTTTATAATATATTAATTCCCAATTTTGAATATTTGTGTCTTTATTTTACCTTTATAATATATTAATTTCCAATTTTGGAATATTCATTTTTTATTTTACTTTATAATATATTAATTCCCAATTTTGAATATTTGTGTTTTTATTTTACCTTTATAAAGTCGAATACAAATGAGAATATACTGCACCTGAAAGAGTGATAATTTCGCCAATTGATAATATAGTGGTAATAAAATTGCGAATTGTGACTGCAATAACCCTTATGGAACATTTGCTTTACACGGCACCATTTTCATATTTATCAAATAAAAAGAATAAACCTTCATAAATTGATTTTATTTAATTTAGCGTATATATTTTATTGGAATAAGAGTATCGCCTCTGATGGCGATACTCTGAGATAAAATTTTGTTAACTTTCTCTTTAATTTTTTTTATTATTATAAAATTAAATTAAATCAAAAGTTTATATAAAATGAAAAAAGTGATTTTTACAATTTCGTTAATGTAATAAATATCAAAGACCTGCAAGCCCGGCCCGGCCCTGACCGTATTTTAAATTTTTTAAATATACCCGGGCCGGGCCTAAAAAATTTTTTTAAACATACCCGGGCCGGGCCTAAAAAAATTTTTTTTAAACATATCCGGGCCGGGCCTAAAAAATTTTTTTAAAATATATCCGGGCCGGGCCTTAATATTTTTTATAAAAAATTTTACATTATGAGTTATTGGTTATAAGATTATATTATATTATAGTTATGATTAATATAATATTAGGTGATGGTTAACACTACCTAACACCCACAGATCGATCTAATTATTAATTTCCTGAAAGATACCGGAAAACTCCATTTTAAATTACTTACTTAGAAGTTAGACTTAGAACAGTTGTGTTAGAAGAATAGTTTAGAAGTGGATATATCCCATAAACAGATTTAAGTAATAAAAAATTCTATTTTGCTAATAATTTTATCTTACTGTAAAATTAAATTTAAACATTGATAAAATTTTCAGAATAAATGATTTCAAAATTTGAATTATTCTCTTAAAATAAAAATGTACATTGATATTTTTTAGCTTCATATATTAGTTTATAAAATCTATTTCAAATTAGATTGAATCTTTTTGTAAATAATATAAAATTTTAATAACATACTTTTTCTTATAACTATAATATTCAGTTTAAATTTATTATAATAAATAAATATAATAATTTCAAACTACATTATTTAATAAATATTGATATTAGATATTTATAATCAATGTAAGATATAAATAATTAATTAATATTTATTATCATTAGAATTAGTGATACTCAATCAATTTTAAGCATTCAAGAAGCTAAAGTAAAAATTAATATTAAATATAAATCTTATAATTCATATCTAAATTTTTAGAATATTTCCAAAACAATCAATAAAAGGAATATCATGGCACAAAACACTAATGATATAATTGACAAAATTAAAAATAATATTTATTCTTTTAAAAATACTAATAATACTTTAAAATCTGATATTTGGACTAAATATAAAATAATCATAGATAATAATAATAAAAAAAATATTGGCTATGTGCAATGTATAAATTGTTCAAATTTATTATCTTATAATTATAATCATGGTACATCACATTTAAAAAGACATAAATGTGATGGTAAATCCATGAAAATTAATAATTTTTTTTTACACCTGAAAAACCCACTTATAAATGTAATATGAAATATTTAAAACAAAAATTTATAGATCATTCCTTAACACTTTGCGCAAAAGATATTAGACCTTTCGAAATGATAGCTGGGAATGGGTTTCTTGAATTCAGCCAGGCTAGTCGATGTTGGGGCAACATATGGTAAAATAGATATCAACTCATTAATTTCACATCCCACCACTCTATCACGCCACCTTAAAGAAAAATGTAATAAAATAAGAACCATTTTGGTTGATACTATTGCCCGAGTAATCAAGAATCGATTTATGGCTGCTTTCACTGATATATGGTGCGATGACCATAAAAAGAACTCGTTTATAACAGTTAACATGCACTATATATCAGATGACTGGAAGTTAGTGAAGAGAAACCTATTTACCGCTAAATTTAAAGAAGTGTCTAAGACTAGCCAAGTAGTTAAGGATGAACTATTAAAAAATTTTCATAATTTTAGTTTTAACAATAACGATTTTATTAATATAATTTTTGTTACAGACCAAGGTAAAAATATTATAAAAGCATTGGAGTTAAATGAACGATTAAATTGTTCTTGTCATTTATTAAATACAATTTTAAGAAATTCCTTTAACTCCAAATATTTGGAAAGTAATGCCCCATTAATAAAATCAACAATAGATAATACTAAAATATTAGTGGGGCATTTAAAACAAAGTAATAAATGCCAGCATTTAAAAGCCCTTTATCAAGATATAGAAGTCCGCTGGAACTCTAAATACAATATGCTCAATTCTGTTTATTCTCAAAATGAAGAAATTAAAAAAGTTCTTCTAGAACATGGGGGATCGGAAAAGTATTATATTATAGACTTTCCGATCCTTCAGGATATAGTCAACATTCTTGAGAATTTTAACAGAGCTATTGTTGAGTTACAGTCGGACTCTTGTACTCTTTTTAAAGTGGTAATATGGTATTATGAACTTCTTGAAGTTTGTAATACCTTTCAAAGCGAAAAAAGAGAAATAAAATTGATATTACTTAATATAAAGCATTTTTTAATTGAAAAATTTGTTTTACACAAGTATCATTTTATTTCTCTTTTTCTCTGTCCCAAATTCAAACAATTACGTATGTTGTCAGGGACAGATCGCAAGATGACGGAAAACTATATAAAAGATTATATTAAATCACAAGAGGCTCAGGAAGTAAATGAAATACCATCGATCAGTCAAATTACGACTGTTGTTAAACAAACTGAATCGTTTTATGACAAATGGGGCGATGGTAATTCTGGTAATATGTCAATACCCGATGATGAATATTATAATTACATAAATAAAAAAATAAAAAAATAGATGAAACATTTAAGGTGGATAATTTGTTATAGTGGTGGGCTTCTCATCAAAGCGAATTCCCAATTTTAGCAAAATTGGCAAAACGGGTATTGGCTATTCCTGCTTCAAGTGCAAGCTGTGAGCGGAATTTTTCCACTACTGGAAGAATTCTTGAAGAAAGAAGAAGTAATCTTCAACCTGAAAAGGTAGATATGCTTCTCTTTCTTCATGATAATTAGTGAATTTTTAATATCTTTCTTGAGTATAGGCAGGCGCGTACGCAGGAATTTGCTGTGGGGGGGGGGACAATTAAAATTTTTTTAAAATAAATTTTTGTTATTTAAAATTCTGAAGCATAAATCTATTAGGACTAATAACTATTTCTAATACACAATTTTAAATTAATGTGAATTATAAAAATTAAATATATAAACCGGCATATGAAAAACTTTAAAACATATAAACC